TATATACACACACATATACACATATATATATATATATATATATATATATACACACACACACACACACACACACACACACACAACTACATAAATAACATACACAATAGACAAATATATAGGAACACAAATGTATATACAAAATTATGCTAGGTAATATGAATCAGAAAGGTACAGGATATTTGCACAATACCTCCTGAAAAGCTCTTTTCTTTGTTCCATAGTCCATGGCCGTCCATAGAAACCTGTGGTGAACAAAATAAGAAAAACAAATGGTTGTGACAAACGCGGCATATTTCACAAACAGAGGCTACAGTCAATCAACACCTAAGCAATATATAAATATTATGTTTTCTAGCAATGTATGTAACTAACTGGACTAATTTTAACTGTTTAATTTACTTTTATGTTTGATAACATAACGTTGGATGTGTCTAAATTTGCTCACCCTCTACAACACCGGTGATGAATTTCCTGCGGCCTGTTCTCTCGACCCCGATACTGGGCTCGTCCACTGGACACTGCGTATCCGCAACAGCTTCACTTGGTACTGGATTTGCTTCATTTTCTAGCTGTGACGACTCGATTATTTTGTCTTTCTGAACCATTTTGAATTGTACTTATTAATTTCTGTTGGAAATATCGGTCTAGCCGTCAGCCAAAGCGTTTCTTCCGCAGGAACACTAACCCGTCACCCGACTCACTAACTGTTACTGGGTTAGTAGGCCATTGAGTCACCAGTAGAGAGCGGAATTCTATCGGATGAGGATTATCTGCATGAACTACCTGCAGATTGCGTCGGTAACAAACACGACAGTCATTCACGCAACGTTACAGTGCTAAAATCTTTCTGGACTACTAAATTATATCTGGAGTGTCTGCTCGCTCTCTAGCAAGCGAACTGGACCCGTCTTTCAACGATGTCAGAACCGCTAATTAGCATTACCCGGTGTTTTCTCTAATAGCTTTTGTCGAGTCGCCTTACATCATGCGCTAGTCATAAATTAATGACATTTAAGCTTACTGTACACTTGCATCGCGACTTCAAATAAATCCCGTCAATGTAACGTTCATCGACACTGTTTAATTTTGCACTCTTCTTCCTGTTTACACTTACTGCGCAGACTCAGAAAACTGGTTTGAACCAGTAAAGGACGGTTTGTGAGTCTGAAAACAAATCTCTAGCAAAGCTCTTAAAGGGACAGCGAGAATGTCAGCTCTCGTCCAGCCTGAATGAAAATGGTGGATGGCAGCCAGTTCATTTAATTCATCCTATTATGATTTTGGATACGTTAGTAAAAAGGAGCTTTGTTGTGTTGCGGAACAAAATCAGAGACACTGACAGTATCGTTGTCTCTTTGCATTAAAAAAACTATAAAGACCAAATATTTAAAAGATGTATACAAGTTTCTTTTGTATCTTTAACCCAATGTCCGTTTTCTTGTTTATTAATCATTGTATTGTATAAAGTTAGTGTTCTCTGAGTAAAAAAGTACGGTGCCCATAAGGTGACATGTTCGGTTCACTTAGTTTTGTCGTGGCCTCGAGATATTAATATGAGGGAACGTCATAATAACTCTTGGGAGCGTGATATTATGTCGTGGCCACGAGATAATTTTGTCGAGGTAACACATCCTTATGTCGTGGCCTCCAGATGCTATGTTGAGGGAACACATATTTTTCTCGTGGTCACGAGTTTAATGCGTAAACAAACCTGCGTGACCATAGCAACCAGAGATGGATTCATTAATATTTGATTTAGAATTAAGAAATTATTATATTATTTATTATAGACATTATTACATTATTAAATTATTATATTAACCATAGGCCTTGGCTACCGGACTGTATTACGTGCGATAGTCAGCATTCAATTGAAGTTTATCATGAACGTTACATAAAGTGCATAATATAAAATAGGCCTACAATAAAACATTTTTATCCATCCTACAGTCTTGTAAGTCCATTAACTGATCGTCTTTTTCCCGTAATATTTGTATATTATTATTATGATTATTATTATTACTAACCTATTATTATTGGTTATATTTTTATATTTGTTTATATTAATTTTTCCCGCTTCATTTCGATCTCTTTACTTAACGTTCTGAATACTTTTGTAAATATTAGCCTACTGTAAATGCTGGACATGCCAATAAAGCTTTGATTTTGCTGACTGGAATTTTGCAAGTTTGGAAGAATGCAGTTTAAATTTAACATATATTTCATTTTATTTCGGCTAATTAATAGACCTTAATTATAAATACTATAGTGTTTCGTTGAGGAATTAATCATTCACGTAGTATCATTTGTAAATGAAAACACAACATGCTCATTTATCATCACACATGGGCATAAATACAATCATAAAGCCAAACCTTTATTGGCATAATTGTCAGGCGTTTATTTACAAAGTATATGGTAGGCTAGCAAATGCTAGCATAATTATACAAAACGTTAACTAGGTAACTTAAAGCGATACACAAATTGAAAGGGGAAATAAGCATTTATAACAATAAATATAAAAATATAGCCCTAATAAGTTAATGTAATAATAAAACAAATAATAATATACAAATATTAAATTAAAAGTTTAATGTTAATAAAAATGTTTTATCCATTTTTGATAATCCCAGGTTGCTATGGTACCACGAGAAATGGATGTCGTTCCCTCAACATAGCATCTCGAGGCTACGACATAAGGATGTCATTACCTAATGATCTACAACTAAGTGAACCGAACATGTCACCTTACGGGCACCGTAAAAAAGAGAGTAGAAAACGACCTATATGAATAAACTTAGACGATTTCTGTGAAACCGGAAGAGAATTGAGATGAACATCTCTTATGTCTAGTCTCTGTGCAGACGTGCGCATACTTAAAGTGTGGTTATGAATAATGATTATTAATAGTACTGTACAATGGCAAAGATATTACAATATATAAATGACAATGATATAATTTAGGATAAAATAGTTCAGCTAAGGTATGTTTAATTATCACATTCAGCGGCCATTGGCCTCTTGCGTATAAAATGCCACCCCTCTGTGTATCGTGATGGTTTGTTCCATTGCTTCAGCGCTAGTTTCAACGCACATTGTCATGAATAAATAATCTGAGTAAAAAAAAACTTGAATAATCTGAGTCTTTTCCTGACTAAACATCCATAAATTTAATTATACGAGACGCATGTCATTTGATTAATTTAAGACTAGTTAAACAGAGAAAAAGCAGATCATTTTTTCTTATTTTCTTGCATCACAGCAGTTTAAAAAAAGTGTTAAAATGCTGTTTTACCTGTGGTGTGATGCAAGAAAATCTGCTTTATATATATTGAACTGTTAAATCGATCGAATGTCATGCGTTTATTGTTAAAAACACAAAGTGAAGATAAAGTTCACGTTCTGAAAAAAAAATCACATTTTGTTGCTTTGCAGCTTGAAATGAAGACGGACAGTTTTTGTTTTATCCAGCTGTTTACTCAGTGCAATTTATAACATCCAAGTGAAATAAGTGAAATATATAACACCAACATGTCAGAGGGAAAAAAAAAACAGAATAACTGAGTTGGAAAATGAACACCCCCTTGTGTCAGAATTTTGTTAAACCACCTTTTGCTTTAATTACAGCCTTGGGATATGTCTGTTGGGATATGTTGTCTCTACTAACTTTGCACATCTAGACTGCAATATTTGCTCACTCTTCTTTGCAGAACTGCTCAAGTTCAGTTCAATTTGATGGTGAGTGTTTGTGGACTGCAGTCTTCAGGTTATTCCACAGATTTTCAATGGGGTTTAAGTCTGAGCTCTGACTAGGCCATGCAAGGACATTCACCTTTTTCTCTTTCAACCACTGTGTGCTCAGTTCTGCTGTGTGCTTTGGGTCGTTGTCATGTTGGAAGGTAAATCTTCTTCCAACTGACAACTTTCTGGCAGAGGGCAGCAGATTTTACTCAAGAACTTGATGGTATTTTGCCCCATCCATTTTCCTTCTATCCTGACAAGTGCTCCAGTCGCTGCTGCAGAGAAACAGGAATGCTGTTATTTGGATGCTGAGCTGTATTGGATTTCCGCCAGACATGTCGTTAGGTGTCGAGGCCAAATAATTCAGATTTTAGTCTCATCTGCCTCAGAATCATCAAGGTGTGTTTTGGCAAAGTTCAGTCATGACTGCATGTGGCCTTTCTTGAGTGGCGGCTTTTTTCTTGCAACCCTCCCATTCAAGCCCCATTTGTGGAGAATCTGTGATATTGTGTCATGCATACAATGACTACTCTTTGTCATAAATAGTCGCCCATAAAAAATAAAAATCACTGTACAACTGGGTTCTTTAAACACAAACAGCCACTAGAACTGGCAGGAACAGTTAAACGTCACTGCACGACTGATCAAGACTACTGCAATGCTCTGCTGGCCAGCGTTCAATCCAGCACAATTAGAGAATTAGACAAAGCAGAGATGATCCAGAACACAGCTGTGCATCTGATCTTCAATCAACCAAAAAGCACCACCGGCTCCCCGCTTCAGATTTATGGCTGTTATTGGCCTTATAAATCAGCATATAATCATACCGACACCATATTCTCATGTAGCCTAACACCAGCTTGAAAGCACTGCAAGTTCAAACTCATTTGAAATTGACCTATGACATGCAGTTCACCTAAATTTAAATGGTTCTTGGTTTTCTGTAAAATTAGTACACCATTTATTTCTACACTAATCAATATGCTGCTTATTTGAACGACATTGACAAATGTTATGTGAATGTTGCAAAGGTCTGTTCAAGATAGAATGACACAGACTTTTAATCTCAAAAGAGACACAAGGTTTATTTAGGTTGAAATAAATTCAGCATTATAAACCTGTTTACCCCAACATAATGTTTCCATTCAATTCCTTTTAAAATGTATCCAACATTCAGCAATTCAGATTAAACATTTAAATACATTTAACCCTTTAAAAATGTTTCTATTATTTCATTCCAGTTTTATTATATTTCATGATCTTTTTTTTTGCAATTTTTCTTACAAATCATCACTTCAATAGAAGGTGTAAACTTGCAGAAACAAACAAAAACACAAAGAGAAAAACAAAAACAGTAATTGAGAGGCAACACTGGAAGTGTGGGGCAGCATTTTGCTTGGAGGTAATCGGTCTTCTTTCCTGTGGCTTGATTAATCGTTACCTTTTCAGGTTCCACTGAGCTTGCTTGAGTAAAGTGTCGAAGTCTAGTGCATCAAATTTGCCTTTTGTAGGCCGTGGATTGTAGTCCCGGTTTGAATCTGAAAGAGATCAAAAAGACACTGTAGCATCTGGAGGCTTTAACAGGAACGTTTTTAAAGACTGTAAATGAGTGGTGCACCGAAATTTCACCAACCAGAAATATCCAGCAGAAACATCAACTATTGCCCTAAAGTTACAACATGTAAATGTGTCAGCAGTCTTGATGCACTTAACTGTGACCAAAAATGATGCTAGAATAGCGATGTGTAAAACCTGAATCAGAAATGGAGAGGCTACGCATTGCTGAAGAATTTTATTACGACTGGTTTCATTTATCACCTGAGAACACAACACCCTGAACAGAATACAGTGAGGAATATATTTATTTGATCCCCTGCTGATTTTGTAAGTTTGCCCACTTACAAAGAAATGAAGGGTCTGTAATTTTTATGGTAGGTTTATTTTAACGTATAGAGACAGAAAAAATCCAGAAAAAACACATATAAAGGTTAGAAATTGATTTGCATTTCGGTGAGTGAAATAAGTATTTGAACCCCAAGCAACCAGCAAGAATTCTGGCTCCCACAGATTGGTTATGTGCCCATGTGGACAAGGATGCACCGAATGTTCGGCAACCGAAATTATTCGGCCGAAAATAGGAAAAAAAAAGCTCTTTCGGTGTTCGGCCCAATAAGCGGAAAGACCGAATAAATTGTACCGAACAATGATATGACGCGATCAAATAGCAACCAGCGCAGAGTGAGAGGCGCGCACTCTTTATTACGCAGCACACACGTCAGCAGTGTGGAAGCATTTAAAGGGGTCATATGATGCTATTTTAAAGATCATTATTTTGTGTATTTGGTATAACAGAATATGTTGACATGCTTTAATGTTCAAAAAACACATTATTTTTCAAATACTGTACATTATTGTAGGTCCTCTATGCCCCGCCTCTCTCAAACGCGTCGTTTTCAACAAAGCTCCCTGCTTTGACAAGCGCAGTCTGCTCTGATTGGCCAGCTGACCCAGTGCATTGTGATTGGCCGAACACCACAAGCAGTCGGAAATGTAACGCCCCTTACCATAATCACAGCTTCAGCTTTCAAAGTAAATATCAAGACAGTTAATAATGTCGTTAGTTTTACCATCAGTTCAAGCCCGAAAGGGCAACAGAGTCGCGTAAGCACATTTTGACTATTTAATTTATGCAATGGTGAAAAAAAAAACACGGAAAACCGTATTCGGCCTTCTGCCCAGTGTTTCATTTTGTTCGGTTTCGGCCAAGAATTTTCATTTCGGTGCATCCCTACATGTGGAACATAGATTAGTCCTGCCACTTTAAAGAAGTTACTCCTAATTAGAGGTCTGCACTGGCTTTAAACTGAAGCCCGAACACAGCCCCTACCAGAGATCGTCTGACACGACCCGAGCGGCACAGTTAAATTTAGAGCCCGAACCCGACCCAGAAATTTTTTTTCCCCTCCATAACGAATAGCCAATTTTTAAAAAATGCTGTATTTCACGATTGCATGCAACTGTCAGTAAACAAATACATGTAAAGAAACATTATCATTAAGGCAAAAGAAAAAAACACTTATTACCAGTTACAAAAGTTTATGAACATCAGGTGCAGCGGTCACATAAATTCTGCCGAGTTTTTGAATGGTTGTATATGACAAGACGATAATTCTTCCATCGTGCAAATTATGGTCATTTTCGTCAGTTAAGGCTCGTTAGCATTCGGCCTGCTTTAAATCAGACAGAGATGCAGTGCGGTAAGATCACATTTATTTGAATTCATTATATCATTTATTTGAATTGGCGAGAGAGAGAGCGCGATGAAAGTTGCGTGTGTGAACCTGCGTCTGCGCGTCTCTCTCTACAAGCAGTGAGGCTTAGTTATTTCAAAAACAGCGATTTTACCCCTTCATTGCAGAGAAATATAACGTTGCGAGTCAGTAGCCTGTCGAAGCTATTTTACAAAAGTTTATGAACATCAGGTGCAGCGGTCACATAAATTCTGCCGAGTTTTTGAATGGTTGTATATGACAAGACGATAATTCTTCCATCGTGCAAATTATGGTCATTTTCTTCAGTTAGGCTCGTTAGCATTCGGCCTGCTTTAAATCAGACAGAGATGCAGTGCGGTAAGATCACATTTATTTGAATTCATTATATCATTTATTTGAATTGGCGAGAGAGAGAGAGAGATGAAAGTTGCGTGTGTGAACCTGCGTCTGCGCGTCTCTCTCTACAAGCAGTGAGGCTTAGTTATTTCAAAAACAGCGATTTTACCCCTTCATTGCAGAGAAATATAACGTTGCGAGTCAGTAGCCTGTCGAAGCTATTTTACTAATAAAAGTTTCCGTGCTGTGTTGTCGTGTGCAATAATGTGTGTGTGTGCGTCTATGAAAGCAGCGTAGCCTGCATATAGTTTTAGTTTAGCTATAAACCCGAGCCCGACCCGAACCCGAA